CGGAGTGCCCAGGGTTCCCTGCGAGGATCCACCCCACAAGCGGTCCCAGAGGTTTCGGGGCGTATTTTGGTGCCGTGGATGTGGGGGCTACGCAGCTTCCACCTCTATTAAGCTCTCAAAGTCCTGCCTAGAGAAGATCTCGGAGCATGGGGAGAGAGTTCTCAAAGCGCTGGAGGCGGGGAGGCTCTCGAGGGATGTCGAAGCCTTGCCTGAGCCAGAAACGCAGCTGGAGCCCCCGCCCCCAGTTGCGTTTTTCTGATTTGGGGAAGGGGGGCCCTGTCGCGGCTCACTGGCTGGGTGGGTCGCAGCCCAGTCGGGGAGTGACAAGTTCTGAGGGGGCCCCCTCCGAACTTTTTTGTAGGGGCTCCGCCATGTGGACACCGCCCTTTAGGTAGGCAAGAGGAGGAGGAGGAGGAGGAGGAGGAGGAGGATTTCGAGGAGGAGAGGCAGGCGCGGGAAGAAGCCTCCTGGAACGCTCTGGAGAGGCCGCGGCGCTCGATGGATCCTCCGAGCACGCCAGCTCAGGGATTTCTGGTTACCTCATCCAGGTGGTGTCTTCCTGCCGTTGTTTTACCCAGAGCGAGGATGGGAGGAGGATCAGGAGCGAAATACGGCGTACGTGTACATGAATCTCGGTTGGCTTCGAGAGTTTGCATTTCGCGAACCTTCGTACCCCCAGGCTGGCCTCGCAGACTGGGGGACCGCATTAATCTACGTGGCTGGGCGCGTACATCTGTTGTGGACTCCCGAGCAGGAGGAGGAGAATGAGAAGGATGAGAAGTAGGAAGGGGCCAAGAGCGAGGATGACGGCAAGGGTGAGGGCGATGGCGAGGACGAGGCCGCGTGCGAGGACGAGGATGAGGACGACGACCGGGACGGGTAGGAAGAGGGGGAGTTGTTTGTTTTTCTTGGGCGCCATTTTTGCAGGCCTAGAGGTCGGCACCAATACTCGTATCGGCGGTTGCCTCCACCGAGGGAGGAGGATCCCGATCTCAGTGATGGTGGTGATACTCGTCCCAGGTGGCCGAGATATCACCACCACCAAAATGCTGAATCATTGTCCCCCGGTGGAGGAAGCCTCATTTTTTGGTAGTGGTGGTGCCAATTTCCAGGCCCCCGACACTTAGGACCGCTGGAAGCTCGACCCGTGTCAAGACGTATACGTCGAGAAGACGTTTTCTTCGTGGGGTTGGTGTTTCGCAGGCGGCAGCACGCAAGGAAACCATCAGTTTGGACGCGTGCAATGCACACTGCTGCACATCGCGGTGTTGGACACGCTGCGCATCCGCCACCATGGCCGAATCGGGTCCATCCAAGAGCCAGTGCCACGTTCTTTGGAAGCATGTTGGGGGTCTCTTCGGACTGGTGCTTTTGGACCCAGCAATCTCTCGGAGGCCTTCTGGGCCCTCCTGTTGTTGGCATCTCAGGGCGCACAACAGGGAGCGAGAGCATCGTGCCCGATTTGTGCATTCGTGAGTTTTTGATCCTGGAGGCGTTCGTTGACCGCTTGTGAGTTTTGCTGGGCCGCTTGAGGGATTTCACTAGCTCTTGTGCAGCTCGAACTCTTGAAGCAGCAGGCGGAGGATGAGGTGTCGTCCAGCCGTGTCTCGAAAGATACAGTCAAAATTGATGATAAGGATGGGCTACCTTCTCTCGAGGGTACCATTGCATCCTTGCCTCTTCGGTCGATGCTTCTCCACTTTCAGTTTCGACATGGGCGTCCAAGGGGCCCGCATCCCTGCCACGCATCCTTGCCATCCACCTCGGTTGCAGCCACCCGCAGCCCCACGCGGCGGTGCGGGCCAAGCAGCTCGACCTCTGGAAGCAGCTGGCGCGGGACTACTGCGCGCACCACCGCGTGTGGGTGCTCGACGTCTCCAACGCGGCGGGGGGACGAGGACGAGGACGAGGAGGAGGAGGAGGAGGAGGAGGAGGAGGAGGAGGAGGAAGAGAAGGAGGGTGAGGAGGGTGAGGAGGAGGAGGAGAAGGAGGAGGAGGAGGAGGAGGGAGGAGCAGGAGGAAGCAGGAGCAGGAGGAGAGGAGGAGGAGGAGCAGGAGGGAGGAGGAGGAGAGGAGGAGGAGGAGGGAGGAGGAGGAGGAGGAGGAGGATGAGGAGGAGGAGGGGGAGGAAGGAGGAGGAGGAGGGGGGGGTCGCGACGGCCGGCCGGGAGGCGGCCGTTGGCGTCGGGGAGAGGGAGCGGCCACCTCGGCGGCGCTCCGGGGGGGGGCTTGCCGCACGGGGCGGCCGTGGGACCGGTTCTTCTGTTTCGCCCCCTGGCGAAGGGCCGGCCACGGGCCCCGGCATCGCTCGGACATGTGCACGTTTTTCTCGGCGGGGGCCATCGAGGAGTCCTGCGCCTCCTCCTCCTCCTCCTCCTCCTCCTCCTCCTCCTCCTCCTCCTTCTCCCATCCTGGATCAGCATGCGGAGAAAAAGCACGCACGAAACCGAAAAATGTTCGGGGAATGCATGGACGTCCGAGCGATGGCAAGGGGCGCTGTCACGAACGATGCAGTCATTGGGAAACGGGCTCCATGTACCCAGACATCCATTACCAGCCTGGAGCATATCCCTATCCCTATGCTGGGCACCTCCTCATCACGATGCCAATCTTAGGGAGTCCCCTATTTTTGGGGGGTGATCCCTAAGATTGTCATCGCCTTTTGGCGTGTCAATCTTAGGGATAGGGATACGTTCGAGGCTGGTAAACATCGATCGCCCGAAAGTCGCGGATCGGATCGAAGCCAGACCCCCCGACGTCGCGTTTTTCTTCGGAGCGCGAGCCCCCCACAATCCCGGCTCCTTCCCCGGGACAGATTTTGTTTACAGCAGTTTTTGTTTCAAAGCAAAGCCCTTTGAGGCCGACAGCGACCAAAAACATCCCGTCGTGATCTCTTCACGACGCGCGCCTGTCTGGGACAACGCCGTGCGAGAACTGCAGGACCGATCGCCCCAAGATCGCATCGCGTGTCAATCTTAGGGACAGGGATACGTTCGAGGCTGGCAAGTCCAGCGCAGCGCGCAAGTCGAGGCGGCCGGCCGCCTGCCGTGCTGCGCCTCACCTCCTCCTCCACCTCCTCCTCCTCCGCCTCGTCCCTCCTCCTCCTCCTCCTCCTCCTCCTCCTCCTCCTCCTCCTCCTTCTCGTCCTCCTCCTCCTTCTCGTCCTCCTCCTCCTCCTCCTCCTCCTCCTCCTTCTCGTCCTCCTCCTCCTCCTCCTCCTCCTCCTCCCTCCTCCTCCTCCCTCCTCCTCCCTCCTCAGGTGGAGGAGGAGGCCCGTCCCGGGCCGCGGGGCTGCAGCACCACCGCACGGGAGGCAGCGCGCTGGCCCTGGGGGGGGGGGGAGCGCGGCCGCGAGGTCCGGCGGCCCACGCCTCGAAGGTTTCGAGAAGTGGGAGTGGCGCCCACGCCTCGAACAGGGGCTTCCCTTCGACTCAAATACGACGTTGCTGAAGTTCATTTGGGCTGGCGCGCTTGAGCAGGGGCCCCTGCTGGGAAAGAGGACGGGAGTGGCGACGGGCCCACGGAAAGGGAGGCGCAAGGAAGGGGGACGACAGAGACGACGACCAACGAACAACGGGGATGACGTCTCGAACGGAAAAGCCCCTCACACACGCCCACAGGGTCGGCGGATTTAGAAAAACATCGAAAAGTTCGAACACCAAATCGAAAATTTCGAGAAATCCGAGAGGTCAGCTGCCCCCTTTCAGAAGAAGGGGAAGAGAGAGAGAGAGAGAGAAGGAGAAGGAGAAGGAGAAGGAGGAGGAGGAGAAGGAGAAGGAGAAGAAGAAGGAGAAGAAGAAGAAGAAGAAACGCCATAAGCACAACCTGTTGGCGCTCCGAGCGGGTTTCTTGGATCCGCGCTGGGGCCCCCCGGCGGCGCCTCCAGCGCCGCCCCTGGCGCGCGCCGCGCGCCAGGGAGGGGGTCAGCGCGGATCCGAGAAATCCGCGCGGAGTGCCAACAGTTTATGTTTATGGCGTTTTGTCCTCCTTCGATTCCAGAGGGCCTCGCCGCCGAGCATCCAAGGAATGGCCGATCTTGTCCTCGGCGGAGGGGCAGCGAAGGTAAAGAGTTGCCATCCCAAGAGACGTCAGCTCTTCGGGGTCCTGGGTTCCTGCAGGCCGCCGGGCGGGGATCGTTGCTCCTCGCACCAGGCCCTAACGAGTCCGAAGTCGGCCCTCGGGGTTCGAGTCTCGAGCAGTGGCGAAGCGTCCCAGCTTGCCTCTAGGCCCACCAAAGAATGTTCTAAGAATCTGTTGTGGTTTGCGCGAACTGTTCTGAGGACATGTCTGGCCGAGAGCGTCTTGTTTCAACACATCGGACTTATGTTCTAAGATCATTGGTTTTGTTGTTGGAGCATCTTCTGGTTCCAAGAACACTTCGTGGTAGGCCTATAGGAATGCCGGGACGGTCGGTCCCTGTTCAAGAGTCTTCCTCCGTCAGCACACGTCTGGGCACGGGGAACGTCGATTTCCACGTTTGGCTATGTCCCCGTTCAGGGGGCCCAGGGCGCCGTAGACGGGGGCAGAGTACACGGGGGAAAATGAAACAGCCTAAGCCCCCGTTTAGCTAAACCCCCGTCTAGGAAGCCCCGACTCGGGGTCCGAGTCTTCCTCCGTCAGCGCACGTCTGGGGACTGAGATGGACTGCACAGGGCACCGCAGCCGATCACACGCAGCTGGAACGGTACTCGGGTGGGCCAGGGTCGGGCGGACGGCAACAGGGGGGGGCAAGAGGCGTGGGAGGATTGAGGGTTGCAGGAAAGTGGGCCTGAAGGGGCCCTGAGCGGCACCTCTACTGCCCCCGCGGGCCCCAAAGGTGCGCAACGGGTGCACGTTTGTTCCCCCCCCCCCCCCTTCATTGCCCCGTTAACCAACATTCGGCTGGGGGAAGGGAAGGGTGGCACGAATGAGGACGAGGAGCGTCAGGAGGAGCAGGAGGAAAGGGAGGATCGTCACAGTGAGCAAGTCCCTTTTCGTCCATCATGTCCTCGGGCTTTCTCCGCGCAACCACTTGTGTGCTCTTCCTCGTCCTCCTCGTCTTCCTCCTCGGCGAGTGGTAAGTGGAATTGAGCCGCCCTGCCCTTCTACATCCTCGTCCTTCCCACCCCATCGCATCCTCAACGCTCTCCGTAAGCAACGTTCATGCCTTCTGCACCATTCGCCCACCTGAGCGGCTTGAGGTGGATTCGGAGGCCGAACGCGCATCTGAGCAGGTCGGCCCGTCACGTCCAAATGGCAGGTGGGCAGCGCGTCTTCTCGAAGTGTTCTGGGCACCCAGCGGAAGCACAAAGCACTCCAGAAGACCACCCGGAGCACTGCTTCAGTGATGCAGGACACGACGAGGAGGGCTGTCGTGACGAGCGTGACGGTGTGAGAGCGCGGAGATCTCTTGCAGGGGACAACGGGAAGACGGTGGAGGCGCAGAAGGGCCAGGATCGGGCGGAGCAGTTGTGGGTGAACGGCTTCCCAGCCTACGAGCAGCATCCGACCTTCCTCTGCCGAGGCGGACGGAATGCTGCTCACGGGCTCGAGGGAGGGCTTTGCCAGGCGCCGTCCAGGCGCATGGCCGGCGTGCTTCCAGGATCGCTTCCCCACGCCCGTCCTCGGGGGACTCGGGAGGACGAGCAGCCGCGGGGCGAGGAGGGCGTCAAGGCCCGGAGGGCGGCGCGCAGTCCGCTGTGCCCCCCAGGAATCAGGAGGGAAAGAAACACACAGACACAATTAATCGTCGAGTCCCAGGAAAATATGGGAATTGGGCGGGAAGACAAAAAGCCAGAAAATATAGGAAAATATGGGGAATCGTTTTATTTGTGCGTTTTTATTTGTGTGTCCCTGGGCCCTTTAAGGCTGCGCCGATCCGGGGGCCCCCCTTGCCGAAGAGGAGCACGGGCAGCTCGCGAGCGCACAGGCGCCGCCGTGCAAGGCCTGGTGGACGGAGGGGGGGAGGGGGACGGAGGGAGGGAGGGAGGAGGGAGGGAGGGGGGGGGAGGGCGACTGGGAGGGAGGAGGGAGAAGGCAGGAGGAGGGAGGGAGAAGGGAGGAGAGAGCGAGGAGGACGAGGAGGAGGGAGGATGCGAGGCTTCTGGAGGTCCGCGGAGCTCTCTGGAAATCTCCGCGGGTGTTCAGTTGAGACCTCCGACTGCATTGGAGGAAAAGGGGGAAGGGGGGAATGATGATGGTGATGGCGATGCTGATGCTGATGCTGATGCTGATGCTGATGCTGATGTTGTTGATGATAATGCTAATGGTGACGATGATGATGATGATGACGATGATGATGATGATGATGATGATGATGATGATGACGATGATGATGATGATGATGATGGTGGTGATGGTGATGGTGATGGTGATGGTGATGGTGATGGTGATGGTGATGGTGATGATGATGGTGGTGATGATGATGATGATGATGATGATGATGATGGGGTGCTGATGATATGATGTGTGATGGTGATTATGCTGATGATGCTGATGCTGATGGTGATGTTGATAATGATGATGCTGATGGTGATGATGGGATGATGGTGCTGATGATGATGACGGTGGTGGTGCTGATGATGTTGATGGTGATGCTGATGATGACGATGGTGATGATGATGATGATGATGATGATGAAGTTGGTTGTGGTGATGATGGTGGATGGTTGTGACGATGCATGATGAACGATTGATGATAGATGATGGATGAGGCTGAGTCTGAGGATGAGGATGTGGATGATAATTTGGATGATGATGAGGGCGAGGGTGATGATGAGGATGTGGATGAGGATGAAGATGATGACGATGATGATGATGTTGATGATGGTGTTGCTGATGATGCTGCTGCTGATGATGATGCTGATGATGATGATGATGATGATGCTGATGATGATGATGGTGATGATGATGATGATGATGATGATGGTGATGATGATGATGATGATGATGACGATGGGGGATGACGGGAAACAAAAACGTAAGAGGAAGAGGAGGCAATGGAGGAGGAGGAGGAGGAGGAGGAGGAGGAGGAGGAAGAGGAGGAGGAGAAAGGGGAGGAGTAGGACGATGGAGAAGCTGAGGATGACGAGGAGGCCTTGCAGAGGAGGAGGAGGAGGAGGAGGAGGAGGAGGAGGAGGAGGAGGCGCCCCCGCCTGGCCCCTGCTCCACCTGGGAGGCGGCGCTCTAGGTGGAGCCGGAAGAGGCCCTCCTGGATCTGGAGGCGCACCGAAGAGATTGCCCAGGCTGCACGCGGGCGTCGCAGTCCGCTTTTGCGTCCCTGGCGACGCGCGCGCCCTGGCGTTGGCAGCGGACAGCGAAGGCGCCGTCAACGCCGACGCTGGGGCAGACAAGTTGCGCCTATACCCAGGGCACCAAGCGCCGCGGCCGCTGTTCCCGCCGGCGCTGGACGCGGGGGCGCTACGGCCTGCCAGCGTTCTGGCACTTCGGCTGGCCGACGCGAGATTGGTCGCAGGGCCACTGCGCCGCCGCTCGGCACTTCCGCAGCACCGGCAGAGGAGCTGCCGCGCTAGGCGCGCCAGTGGGGGCGGCCCCGGCACCGCAGGGTCGTCGCGGAGCACGCGGAGTTCGGAGGGCGGCATCGGGCGCTCGCGGATAGACCGCCCCGCCGCCTGCAGGAGGGGAACGAGGGAGGAGGAGGCGGAGGAGCAGGATGGAGGAGGAGGAGGAGGAGGAGGAGGAGGAGGAGGAGGAGGAGGTCGAGGACGCGACGAGGACGAGGACGAGGGAGGAGGACGAGGAGGAGGAGACGAGGAGGAGGAGAGAAGAGAGGAGGACTAAGAGGGGAGGAGGAGGAGGAGGAGGAGGAGGGAGGAGGAGGAGGAGGAGAGAGAGAGAACGAGGAGGAGGAGGAGGGCGAGGAGGAGGAGGAGGAGAAAGAGGAGGAGGAGGATGAGGAGGAGGAGGAGGAGGGGGAGGAGGAGGAGGAGGAGAGGGAAGACGGAAGATGGAAGAAGGAAGCGGGGAGATGGAAGAAGGAAGAGGGGCGAAGAGGCGGAGGACGAGGAGGAGGACGAGGAGGAGGCGGAGGACCTCGGCGTCGTCGTCGTCGGTCGTCTGGGGAGGAGGAGGAGACGGAGGAGGAGGAGGACGAGGACGTGGAGGAGGCGGAGGACCTCGCCATCGCCGTCGTCGCCGTCGCCGTCGCCGTCGTCGACGTCATTGCCGTCGTCGTCGTCGTCGTTGTCGTCGTCGCCGTCGTCGTCGTCGTCGTCGTCGTCGTCGAGGCTGTCCGACCGCGCCGTCGTGTGTGCCTGCTGGCGCGCCCCTCCCCCCCCTCGCCTGGCCTCGGCGCCGCGGCCGCCGTGGCAGGGCCGCGTCGGGCTGTTCCGCAACCCCGCGCTGCAGCGGCAGCTGACGGCCCCGCGGGGGGTGGGGGGGCGGGACGGGAGGGGGGGACGAGGAGGAGGAGGACGGCGACGAGGAGGAGGAGGAGGAGGAGGAGGACGAGGACGAGGAGGGCGGAAGAAGAAATCAAGAGTGAACCCAAAATTTGCCGACGAGGTTGCAATAAGCATTCCCCCCAAATTGCTTCGCCATGGGCCCCTGCGACCAATTCTTGTTCGTAGCTGATAACGGTTCGTTGAAAAAACATCCGCCCGCTGAACTCAACAAAGGATTCCTTTCCCCCTGGGTCCAAAAGGAAACGCTTCAACAGGGCAAAACACCGCACAACAGAAATTTGATGACCCCCGGCCGATGCCCCCACCGTGCTTGGGTTGTGGAGACGAAGCCCATTTGGATGTTCGTCGGGATCCCGCGGGAAGCCCCTCGCGGGCTTCTAAAAGGCAGTTATGACGCCTCTTGACGGCCGTTGTGGGGCCTCTTTGGGGGGCTTATTGGGGCCTCTCGGGTGCCTCTTTGGGCCTCCTGGGGGACTCTTGGGGCGGAGGGCTTGGATGTTCGGTTCGTGTTCTCTCTCTTGAACCCCTTTTTGGATCCGTCGGCGAGCAGACCAGCGCGGCAGACCAGCACAGCAGACAAGCACGCCGGACCGGCACCTCATACCAATATTGCAGACCAGCAAGGCAGACCAGCACGGCTGACCAGCACGGATACCATCGCGGCACCCTGACACGACTGACAAGCACGGACCAGCACGGCACGATGGCAGGCCAGCACGGCACACCAGCACGGCGCATAAGCACGGCATACCAGCATGGCTGAGATTAGCGCGGCAAACCACCAAAGCACGGTAGACCAGCACGGCAAGTTTTCACGGCAGATCAACACGGCAGACCAACACGGCAGACCACCGCGGCAAATTAGCACAGCAGATCAGCAAACAGCAGAGCGGCACGGCTTACAAAAACAGCAGACCAGCGCGGCAAATCAGCACGGCAAACCAACAAGGCAAGCTAGCATGGTTCAGAGCAGTTTGGCATTTTGCCGACGGTATTCGCCTACGGCAGGCCTCATAGGTCAGAAGGGCGCTTCTGGGTGCACTGAACTCTGAAAAAGCCGCCCAATGGGAATCTGAAAAAGCGGGTAAGATCGGTCCGATCACCGACGGTTGATCATGATCTCAGCTAAACACATGTACTTGAGCTCGAACGTAGCCATGATCCATACGATTCCTGTGTGATCCGTGCACGCTTCCGACGTGATTCGTATACGATTCCATTGTGATTCGTCTGAGGAGTTCGCCAGAGTCCTAAGAGATTCTCTTCGGGAATCTTAAGAACTCCTACGGATCCTGTGAATTCCCAGTTTCCTGGGAGGGCCTCCTAGGGAGTCCTAGGAATTCCCCGGAAACCTACCAAGTGCCAAATTCCTGATAACATTGCGCCACCAAACGAGAGAAGTGCGGGGGACCGAAACAGGCCAACCGCTTGAGGCGTCCGCGAGTCCTTTTTTCTGGGGCCACCAGGCAGCGAAAAAATCGTTTGGAATCTCCATATCATTGTTCCCTCCTCCCTCCCCCTCCTCCTCCTCCTCTTCCTCTTCCTCCCCCGCCAAGTTTCCAAATCCGGGTGCGTCGGAAAGCTTCAGTGCAGCCTTTTTGAAAACGCCCAATACACCGAATGGATCGCCCAATAGAGCTCCGAATAGAGCGCACAAAAAAACACCCAATAGAGCTCCGAATAGAACGCCCAATAGAGCGCCCAATAGAGCTCCGAATAGAGCGCGGCTGCCCACCAGGGCCTTGACTGCATCCGCTTTGGCCATGTCAAGTTGTGCTCTGGTCTCCTCCACTTGCGCCTGGGTCTCACCCACCGCCTGGAGGGCCCTCCTGGCAGCTTCGACCTGGCGCTCCTCCTTCCTCAGAAGTTCGACAAGCTTATGCTGGAGCGCCTGGACCGACCGCGGGACCTCGACCCCATCTGGCAGGCCTTGTCCAATTGTCGTGAGCTTCCTTGCGTGCGCAAGCTTGTCCTGCTGGCTCTGAGCGGGACGCCCCGAGAGTAATTGGAAGGAGCTGTCGTCCAGGGACCACCATTGAGCTTTCTCTTCGTCCGAAAGGGGCTGCGGGCCATGCCAACTTTGAGTCCCATGCCGACGTTGCTGGAGTCTGCCACCTGACAGCGAACCTATTCTGGACCCAGAGCGAGCGGAAGAACTTGCGCGGGGCTTGCTGGTAGCTCCACAGCGGGTTACCCAACGGCGGTGGCCCGAATTCCCATTGGCCTCGCGCTGGGGCTGGGTCCTGTCCACTGGGCTGCTTACCATACGGGTTGCAGGCTCCGCACCCATAGAATTTGGCGCGGTTGCCATCGTTCCACACATTGCACGTGGGAGAGAAGTACGGAAAAGATGGGGCCGCTACCCCAATACAGTACCGAACTGAACAATGATGAGGTGTATCGTATATTCTGGCGGGCGAACGCCAGGAAACTGTTGGGGCCGCGAACTCCCCACGCCAAAACTCAAAGCCTCGAGCACACCGCTGCGGACTTGAGCCAAATTGGCTACGGACTCCTCCTCCTCCTCCTCCTCCTCCCCCTCCTCCTCCTCCTCCTCCTCCTCCTCCTCCTCCTCCTCCTCCTCCTCCCCCTCCTCCCCCTCCTCCTCCTCCTCCTCCTGCTCCTCCTCCTCTCCCTCCTCCCCCTCCCCCCCCTCCACTTCGGACTGTGTGTGCGTGTTGGGCCTCTCCATGGGGCCTCAGACCTTCGGCGACGCGGCTCGCGCTCTGGCTCCACGGCAGATAGCGGGCCTCCCAGATGGGGGACCGAGTGCAGTGGAGATCCGTGCCAAGACACCCTGCTTGCCTCCAGGGTTGATGGGCACACGTTCCAGCACCACAACCACACGTAGGACGGGGGAGAAGGGAAAATGAGGACGTCCTCCTCCTCCTCCTCCTCCTCCTCCTCCCTCTCCTCCCTCTCCTACCTATGGTAGTGGTGGTGGAAGATGGGCCCATCAAGGGTGCCCTGGTGGTCGTTTTTTTATTTGTTGTGTTGCCGATCGGCGCGGGCCCTCGTAACCACCCGTGGCCCCTCCCACCACCACCACCACCATGGAGTAGGTCTTGGCTGTTTTTGGCGCCTGTTTCAGGCAGGTGGAGTCTCCCCATAGGACGCGCTGTTGAAAAAACAGGTCGCATTAGGCAGTGGTCTGGAGCCCGACCCCCCCCCCCTTCCGCCCAATATCGAAACGCCGAATAAGAAAACGTTGCCCTGAGTCTCTTTGGTATCGATGGTTCTACGATGGAAAACGTGACGTCCCCGTGCCAAACATCTATGGACGTCCTGGTGTCTCAGGGCTGGGTTCATTATGGAAGGTTTCTTGTGGTCGAGTTCCTACCATAGACGGGGTCCGAGGATCGCGCCGCATCGATGCATCGGCGATGCATCGGTGATGCACCGGCGACGTCGGCGATGCATCGGAGAGAAATGGGGTTACACATCAAGCCGCATCGGCGATGCGTCGCCGCTGCATCGCCGATGCATCGGCGATGTGGAGCCCCACCCACTCGGACCCCGCTTGGGAGGTCTGGTTTGGTTCGACGGTGCGGTGTACTGCATGGCGCGCCGAGCGTGGCGCGGCGGCTCCAGCGCCCCGCGCCGAGGCGGAGGGTCTGCAGGCCCTGGCGGAGCACCTGGTGGCCGCGGGCGCGGCGGCCTGGGCCGACGGCGACCGCACGAGGTCGGCGGGGGGCGCGTGTTCTGGCCCTCGAGGGCCTCCTCCTCCTCCTCCTCCTCCTCCTCCTCCCTCCTTCCTCCTCCTCCTCTCCTCCTCCTCCCTCCTCCTCCTCCTCTCCTCCTCCTCCTCCTCCTCTCCTCCTCCTCCTCCTCCTCCTCCTCCTCCTCCTTCCTCCTCCTCCTCCTCCTCCTCCTCCTCCTCCTCCCTCCTCCTCCTCCTCCCTCCTCCTCCTCCTCCTCCTCCCTCCCTCCTCCTCTCCCTACTCCTCCTCCTCCTCCTCCTCCTCCTCCTCCTCCTCCTCCTCCTCCTCCTCCTCCTCCTCCTCCAGATGGGGTCCGAGCAGACGGGGCCGGAGGATCGCGCCGCATCGCCGCTGTGGAGCCCGATCTTCTCCGCGCCGCCGTCGCTTGTGCATCGGCGATGCGTTGGCGATGCGGCGCGACCCTCCGACCCCATCCACTCGTACCCCATCTGGGAGGCCCCTTGGACCCCTGCTCCGACGCCTGTTCCGGCACAGTATCAATCAATCGGATCGGTTGTCAGATACCATGTCGGCAAACCCCTGAGTCGGCCACGGGTTTGCCGAAATTCGGAGGCGATGCAGCGACGTGTCTTGATGAGGGCAGTACATACACTTAGGCGTGGCCGTCCTCCCCCGTTTCGCACGAACCATTTCGTCCTCGGGGCCCCTGGACTGAGCCCAGCTTACCTCGAGAAAGTGACGGTAGGAAAGAGTCTCGCCAGTTTTTCCCTCCGAGTTTTTCTGATCTGTCGGAAGTTAAGCAAAGTCTGTATCAGGGGTAATCTTCAGACATCTATGTTCTGGTTGCTCCCGGGCTTCCTGAGGGCCCAAAAGCTGCCCAGAGCAGAGACCAGGGAGACTCACTTCGGTCAGCAGAGAACAGAGTGGGGCGAGGCAGCACGTTTCTTAACCTGTCATGTTGGGGTGATGCTGGGCGGCTCGAAGGAAAAATAAAATGCCAGCCGTGGCCTTTGCAGTAGAGCCCACTCATAGTTTGCTCGAGGGTAAGGCCCCAGATGGCCGGTTCTGGACCCTTGTTGCCCAGCCCTACCTTTGGTCGCTCTGCACGTCACTCGCACAGATTTTCAAACCTTGCTACCGCAGCTCACGCATGAAATCTGGGAGTTGTTCTGTTGTGATTCCGTGTGGTGTTCGATTTCAGTCGCGCGTGTGCTCCGACCTCGCGCGACTGTGTATGTGGCGAGGGCCCTTGCCTAGTGAACTCCAGGCCTGACTTCACCGCAGACCTTTCTGCTGAGTGAAAAGTGTCAAGGCTGTGCGGGCATTTCAATGACATTCAGAACGGTTCGGCGATATGTCCTCTCTGCAGCCTCACCTTTAGCTCCCAACCCTCCCGCCCTTGTAATGGCTTGCTTTCAGCTTCAGTCGCGCGTGTGCTCCGATTTCGTGCGTCTGTGTATGTGGCGAGGGCCCCTGCCTAGTGAACTCCAGGCCTGACTCTACTACAGAACTTGCTGCGGAGTGAAAAATGCCAAAACCAATGCACAGTAATCGCGGGGAGCCTGCGCATTATCCAGATTTTGTCTCGAAATGCATGTTGTACTGTTTTTGACGGGTGGCCTTGCGCACAGCAGGCAATTGCGGGTACCCCCGCCGCCCCTGTCAAAAACAATTCAAAGTGTTCGCGCCCCCCCGACCACGACCCAGGCTTTTGCACCAGAGTGAACTTCACATTGTTTCTGACAGTGATAGTTGGGGGGGCCCTCATTGGCCTTGGCTGCCAGTCGCCTGCGGGAGAGGGTGCCTATTAACAGGGACCCGTGGTACACCCCTCCCCGAGGCGGAAGAGGGGGGTGGACTCCTCCTACTCCTCCTCCTCCTCCTCCTCCTCCTCCTCCTCCTCCTCCTCCTCCTCCTCCTCCTCCTCCTCCCCCTCCTCCCCGTCCTCCTCCTCCTCCTCCTCCTCTCCTCCTCCTCCTCCTCCTCCTCCTCCTCCTCCTCCTCCTCCTACCCGGTAAACCACTCGCGTCCTACAGAGGGCTGGTGGGAGTTTTGGGCATGGGCTCCCTTGTCGGGTGAACGTGGCCGAAACTCGGGGCGGGGGGCGCGCGTCCTCCGGGCCCGCCGGCGGCGGCTGCCCGAGACGGGGCCAGGCTCCTGATGTACTGGCGCATGCCAGGCGAGCGGGGACGGAGCACCGGTTCGGCAAGGGCGCGGTTGGGTGGACCTGCGCGCCCAAGGAGGAGGAGGAGGCGGAGGAGGACGGGGAGGGGCACAGGGAGGGAGGAGGGAGAACGTGAGGGAGCAGGGGAGGAGGAGGAGGAGGAGGAGGAGGAGGAGGAGGAGGAGGAGGAGGAGGAGGAGGAGGAGGAGGGGGAGGAGGAGGAGGAGTGGGAGGAGGAGAGGAGGGAGGTGGAGGAGGAGGAGGGAGGAGGAGGAGGAGGAGGAGGAGGAGGAAGGAGGAGGCAGGAGGCAGGAGGGAGGGAGCATTTGGGGTTATTGTGAAGGCCTTCCGGCCGGTGCCGCCGACCCAACCAGACAACAGCCACGACCACGGCCACGACGACAACGACGACAAACACGAGTTGATGATCCCCCTCGGCCCCCCCTTCTAATGCGCTAGTGGGCCCTTGGGGGGGAGGAAAGGGAGAGGGGGGCAGCCAAAAATTGCTCACACTCTCACACGCCTATTCACCCACAGCAAGCGGAGGTAGGCGGATTTTTATGTAGTTACATTACCGTGGCATGCAGCTACAATTAGTTCGTTGTCGTCGGAGTGTCTCGAGTCATAAACCCCCTCATCTGGGCCGTTAGTTCAACAAACCATCAGGCTTGGTAAGCTAAGAACCCCGTTTCATTCGAAACACAGTCATGCGCTTTTGGTATTAAGGCCTTGGGCTTTGCAAGCGGATACGTGAGATGAGTCGGTACTCCTTGAGTGGATGCATGCGCGAGAGGGGGCGAGCGACCAAGTATCCTTTGCTCCCAGTCGTTGGCCAAGCTGTTTCGAGACTTGTTTGCGCGAGCATTTTTCATGATACGCACTGGCTGAGCGCAAGAAGGAGGGAGAAGCGAGGGAGGAGGAAAGGGGGAGAGGAGACGGAGATTGGATAGTGGGGGTTTGGGGGTGGGGGTGAGAGAGAGAGGGAGAGAGACGGGGGGGAGGGAAGCAGGCAGACAGACAGACAGACTGGCGGAGCAGGAGAAGGAGAAATCCGTTCGTGCGCGAAGCCTGGCTGGGGGCCGGCGCAATCCATCAACGCTCGGCGCTAACAATCAGACAAACAGACAGACAGACAGAGAGAGGTGGGCAAGGAGCGAGCGCGAGGGGTGCCAGGACCCCGTGCCTGCTGGCCCCCATGAGGAGGAGTGGACAGTGAGACGGGCAAGGGGAGCGGAATGGACGGGCAAGTGGGGATCCGTTCAAGCAGTGGCGAAGTGTCGTAGCTTGCCTATAGGCCCACCAACGAATGCTCTGAGAAACTCTTGTGATTTGCACGAAATGTTCTTAGAGCAGTTCTGGCGGGGCTGTCTTGTTTTAGCAAATCGGGTTTACGTTCTAAGAACACTGCCTTTGTTAATAAGACATTTTTTGGTTTCTGGGAAATCTCGTGGTAGGCCTATGGAATGCCGGGACGGTCGGCCCCTGCTCAAAAGTGGGGATCCTTGCGGTTGCCCAAGGATGACGCGCTGCTACCTCGGAAAGGCTTCCAAGCGATGCAAAGGGACGCTAAAGTTGGAAGTGCAAAAGCAAGAGAAGAACAAGCGTGAGCAGTGAGAAGGGGGAGAGAGGAAGCAAAGGAGAAAGAGGCAGGCTGGACATTCAGAGGGCTATGTGTGACCACACCCACCAGGCGATGAGGAAGAACAACGGGAGAGGGAGAGAAAGCGAGAGAGCGAGCGAGCGAGCGAGCGAGAGCGAGAAGGCGAAAGAGGCAGGGGAGAATCGGCCGCAGCACGCGGCACCGGCAGCGGCATCAGACCGCCGCGCCCCGTCAGCGGACCGCCTGGGGCGGTGCGGGAGGCGAGTGGGCCGACCTGATCTTGCGGTGGGCCGAGTCCACGGGGCGCATCGGCAGCGTGGAGACGGCGGGGGAGGGAGGGGAGGTGGAGGGGACGAGGAGGAGGAGGAGGAGGAGGAGGAGAAGCTGAATGAGGACGAGGACGAGGAGAATAAGCAAGGGCGTCGTCCGCGGTTCGGTCGGTCCAGCCGCATGGTGGTCGGTCGGTCAGGTTCGGTCGGTTGTTTCGCTGCTGCGCCGCTGAACCCTTCTAGGCTGCTTGCGGCCTGTCGATGTTGGTTTCGCTGTCGGTTCGGGCGTTTGGATTGCACGACGACCTTGATGAAGAGAAGGGAAGAGATGAGGAGGAGGAGGAGGAGGAGGAGGAGGAGGAGGAGGAGGAGGAGGAGAGGAGGATCAGCACAATGGCCCTGATGAGGACGACGAGGATATGGAGGAGGGACAGGACAAGGCTGCACGAGGAGTAGCTGGATGTGCAGACTTGCTCTCGTGTTCTTGCACCTGGTGTTTGCTCTCGTTGCCCTCCTGGGCCCGCCTGGGAGGAAGGAGGAGGCGAAGGCCGCCAAATACAAAAATGTGGACGACCACCTCTGGGACACTCGGAAGTGAACCTCACCACATCTGAACCAAGCCGTCTGCCCGAGACAAGTCAGTGCTACTACATGGTGCTACAATAACGACGTTGATTGCCGCAGTGCGACACAGAAGAGTCTCGGCGCCCACAGGCATATAAACGGCTTCAGCGGTACGCACCCCAAGCGATGGTGGACGATGACGGGACGGGTCGTCGACCAGATCATGCCACGCATGATGCTCGACCTCGCCCGGTGTCGGGACGTCATGAGGTCTGACAGCAGCCCGATTGCGATCGGTTTTGGCACCGACAGAATGCAGCGTCCACCAAAAAAATCACTGACATTCAAGCTTCTTCATCTCTGATATGGAAGCGCGTGGAACGATGGTCATACCAGCGGACGCGTGGATCCACAAAGGGGACCGTAACGGTTGCGATTGGCATACTCTCAAAACAGCCCACATCAGCGTGGTGATGGGTTTGCAGTTTTGACACGCACAGATGCCCCAAGAGCTGGCGAGCGTGATCGCTTCATTACCATCCCAGCAAGTTTCGCACAACGAGCCCGCAGCCAATTCCGTTTTTGACAGCAGCGGCTAGACCGTCGCGACGAGGATTTCCCGCGCATACCAGACACACACGCAGCAGTTCGTCTCCCTCCAGAAGTCGGAGCCGACAAATTCGACCGAAGGACCAGGAGTTCTGCATCGTTTCCTGCCTGAGCACAGCTGAGTCGTCGGACTATTAACCCTGGCCGCTTGCGGGAGGGAGCTCCTGCGAGCGCTTCAGACGTTGTTGCGGCAGCAACCCCACGTGACCAGATTCTCGCTCGCGGACTTCATTCAGCTCCTACAAGCATAGATATGCAAGAAGAGGCTGTCGACTTCAGCGCTGACGTCCTCTACGGCACCAACTACAAACGCGCGCCCACAACCACGCCTCCCATACATCCCCGCGCAGTAAAGCGACGATGGCAGTGACACACTCGCGATTACACCTCCTGGCGGGGGCAACCCAATTCCGAACCTTCACACCGAGGCGACCGCCCAGGACAACGAACGCGGTAGCTTACAATTCGACCCTTTCCAGATACCAGCGGCTGCTGAGTGCACACCGCGATATGTGTCAGAACGCGGACACACCAGCGAGGCGATTGTTCCACTCCCCCGACTACGTTGCGACAAGATCTAGCAGACGTGCGGGCGCCGCCCAGGCGCGCAGCGACGCATTCATCGCAGCGTTGCTGCTCCTCCAGGAAACACCGCACTGGAGACACACGCATGCCGTACATCAACAGCGAGCTCGACAAGATCCCCACGACAATCCTCGAGGTCAACCAATGCATCGGGGCGCTCTCGCTTGCGCCGCGCCCTGCACCAGCACCGCACAGCAATGGGCCGCGCGCGTTCCGACTCCTGAACCAACGCCAGCCCCAGCACGGGTGACCATGCTGCACACGTTGCCTACGTCCCCCGTGCGCAGCATGACGATTGAACAGGCGCCCATGCGCGCGCAGGTGCTGAATTGCCCCGACAGCGACAGAACCCTGTCGCCATACAGGCACGAGACCGAGATCGGCCACGACAACAACAGCTGGATCCGGCCACGCGACCCATGTCACTACGATCCCGTCGACCTGAGCCTTCAGGATTAAGTTACATGGCGAACAGACAAGGTCATCTCCGACTGTGCTAACCTTCGCGAGTCCGACCCCTTCTGCAGTTACGATTGGATCACCAAGCCAGTCTACCGTAAACTGGGCAACGGAGATCACCGCGCCTTCGACGGCGATTGTCTTGCCGCAGCATTCACACACGAGGGAGTCGACCACGAGCAGTTTTGGAAGATGGGCCGGAAGTGGCGAGGCCGTTCTCAGATGCACCGTGGCACGGAGCACCTGTCCAAACGCATCTCCACGGCACACCGTCACTGAGGTGATTCTTCAGAGGTCCACTTGGACCGCCGCGTCAACGTGGACCGCGCGCCCGGCAACGCAGGAGCACTCCGCGACTTGCCCGCGACAATCCACGCCACATTCGACCGCGAGGAGAAGGGCGCAGTACCCCCATGGATTATTTGCACAGCCATTTACCGCACTGAGATGCAGCACAGGGAAGGGCCACAGCAACATCCGGCAGTTCGCACCGCATTTGTTCAATCGCTGCTGCCAGTGCCACGCGCCAGGCAAGTCGCGACTTCATGCAGTTGCGCAGCTCGGGCCCTGCGAGCACAGACTTCAAGTGGGACGAGAGTATCGCGACGCGTGCCAGAGTCGGACATTTCGCAGCCCATCCACACAGCGCGCCATCCTGTTTGGACGGCACATCATTGACGGTGACAGACGCCGAGCACATACATCACGGCAAAACGAAAGAAGCACGGCAGTCTAGCGCCCCGAGCGGCGTTGCACTTGGCTACCAGGACCAACGCAGCCACCAGAACGCCCGATCCGAGGCTTTCCGATCGGCACGCTGCCACGCACAACGCCCGCAGACAACAACTCCGCCATGCGATTCCGGACCCAACAAATACCGCGTCGACATCGAGTGAAACGCCCGTCGCGGGACCGATCTAAAGGCCCCC